GCACTGATCAGACCCAAAGCTCAGCTTCTTCTCGGTCTCATTTTTCTACCTTTCCTGTAATTCGCCGTGTGCTGCCGTGGCTCGCAGGAGACCAGGACTAACTGCAGAGGTTCTGGTAACGTCCCCTTCCCCTGTCCCCTACAGTCTCCCTCTGTCTAAAATGTAGAGATACATATGTGAAGATGATTTGAAAGATTCAGCAGTCTACATTCAAGGAAAAAAGGTTGGAAACTATATTAAACATGCGAGAGTTGTGATTTGTAAAATAAAATAGGTTTAACTCTACTTATCCCATGTTTTGAGAAATTAATAAACACAGCTCTGAGCAATGACAGAATCATTTCTCCTGATTCACCACAGCACCCCATCAGGCTTTGATGTAGAAATTAGAGCCATTAGTTTGAAGTAGATCTTCAGCCTTTCCATCCCAAGCTACATCAGCCTGAATTTCTCAATAGGAGTAAAGTGCATTATTTAAAAGACCACTTATGCCAAAGTGGAAATCAATCACTTCCCAAACAAAACAACTCATCCCTTGAACTTTCTAATTGACCCTTTTCTTTGGGTAATGGAATTATACAAAAGGGACAGTTTTGAATACTGGCATGGGTAGCAGCAGAGATCAGAAAATTCCAGTACAATCCAGGCTTCAGCTGGAGAAAGATGTGGTGAGGCAGTGTTTCTTAACTGGGCTCTATGGAGCCTATGGCACTCTGAGAAGAGGGTAGAGGCAAGCAGGTAGATGGGATACTTCATGTCTCTCCTTTTCCCATGTACATTAACCAGAGTATTTCTGAATCAAAGTGTTGAACTTACCGAAGAAAGAAAATATATATTCCTGAGGGTTAAGACAGTGACTTCATGAAGATATACCCCTGCTGTTCACATTTTTAGGGGGCTGATTCCATGTGCTACTAAGCTGTTACTATGACAAAATACCTGCCAGAGCCTACCATCCCCTTCAATGGCACACCTCCAGTGGTCAGACTTCCTTCCTCTAGGCTCATCCTCTTAAAGGTTCCAACATCTCCCAATAGCACAGTGAACCAGGGACAAAGTCTTTAACACTTATGCCTCTGACCTAAGATCAAAACTTTAGCACCCCATTTTGCTTCTACCATCAAATGTCAACTTCTTTGGTTTCTCAGTTACCTTCCATTGGCTCCCACAAACCCACTGAAACCAGACTCCTCTCCCTCTACTTCTCCCCAAGCCCCACCCCAGCTCTCTGCTTATTCCCTCCTCTGTAGGTTTAGCTAAGCTGTTTCCATTATTTAGAAACCCACTCCACCTAAAGTTCAGCTGATAGTAGACAATTAACTATTGGTTTTAAATTCACTGAGGTAAAGATCAACACAGGGATCAACCTGGTTGGGGAGTTGAAACAAGTCTGATAGTTTTCAGCTATCTATCCCTCTAAATTTCAGGTTTATGAAATCTGAAGATTCATATCATTATGTGTTTACAGTAAATTCTAAGATCAACACAAGGTTAATTGCTAAAACGCCAATTTACTAGGGAGAGAGACTGGCAAAGGAGGCCACAGAAATCTGAAACAAGCTAGAAATGGTTGCTGAAGTTAATAATGATCCTCCCACTTGAGAAGAAGGCAAAGGCTTTGCCATTGGACCTCTTTTACATCTCGTCACTGACACACTGTTGAGGTTGTGCACTGGATGTGCCTTCCAGAAATCAACTTGCCACCCAGCTGTGAGACATGTAGTAACCTGATAGCCTCTCATTGCAGTGTCTTTGGGATCTGCCATGGTATTGGTACTGAGGCAATAACTGGGCACGGCACAACAACTGGGCAGAGTGGAATTACTGCTGCCTGAGCATTTCTGTGCTACATGGGACTCCTTTCTTGACAATTTTTGTGCTGGAGACTTGCTAAGAGCTGCACTGCCAAGGTGGCTTCCATTCCTCTGACCCCACCACTCCTTTCACAGACGTCAGCTCTGCACTAAGTCTGAGGTTTCTCTGCCAGATTCTGTTACATGACTCTTTTTCTTTCACAAGTGTTTTCTCTAATCAATCTCTTGTACTTCTAACTCTACCATGGCATTTGTTTCCTGTGGAACCCATTCAATACAATGACTTAACCAAATTTTGTTTCCTATCCCTAAAAATGAAGATATTATGTTTGGGACAATATTTATAAGAAATAACATCTGCATACAGATTCCTGAATATAGGAGCCATTTAAAGATAAAATAGGGAAGCTGATTAAAGAGTGGAGAGCGCAGAAACTGTCTTTTTTTCTTTTTTCTTGAGACAGTGTCTCACTATGTAGCCCAGATAACCCTGGAACTTGTGATCCTCCTGTCTCAGCCTCCCAAGTGCTGGGATTATAGGCATATGCCATGTCCAGCCTTCATTTTCTATAAGAATTTGAAGTTCCTAATCTTATTTCTTGCTCAATAGCATATTTTCTTGGCACTGGGGAAAGTAGGTTGAGTTTTCAAATGCCAAAGAGTCATAAAAAATATAAATGTGCAAGCCACAGAACAATTATGAAGTCACACTTGATTCTCTTTCTTGTATATGGTTCTAGACTCTTTCCAGAGTATTTTTACAGGGAAAAGCCTTTTCAAAATGATATTTTTCATTTGGCACTTACTGACTCAGCATCAACTTTGAATATTTCAACACTAGATATTGGTTTCAAAAATATAGAAGATTTTTCTTTATATTTTATATAAATACTCCAATATTTTACATAAAATAGGTGCTCAGTAGGAATTTAACAGTAGAAAAAAATTACATAATTGAATGGATCTGCTCTAAGCCTTGTGCAGACACTTGAAAGAAATTAAGAAATGCACCTCAGTATTAGTACATCAGAAACACTAAGGTTATTACAACGAAGAAACAAAGACAGGACAGAATAGCACAACAATGTATTCCTCAGGACAATGAAAACCAAAACATTATTGCTTTGGTGTTTTGTTCTATAATGAAGTTGTGTGAAGAACACAATAGGAAAAAAAAACAACAAAAAAGAAAATCCCCAGACATTATTAACAAGCAGGCTTTCACCCTATCAACATGAGTGGCTTCCGCACCCTCTTCCACAGGAGGAAAGAATAGCAAACTTTCATGTTCCCACAGGATTTACTTATCCACACATCCCCTAGGCTCACTCTTCAGGGGCTTTGATATACTCACATTGTTTAAAGAAGTGTCAGACTATTTCATCTTAGAAAAAGAACCACTTGTTTAGTAATAAGAGCTGTGCAAGTAGCTCATTGCATCTTAATTAGCTGAAGATGATGCTTCTGAAGTACTCTGCTTTCTTATCAACACTGCTTCCTGCTGCAATAGGACAACTCTGACATTCCTAACAATTCAGCCTCAGGAGCCAGAATCAGGATGGCAGATTCTGCATTAAAATTGTCAAGAGCTGTAAAAAATGAGTGCCTCAGATGTGTTTGTCTTTTCACTGGAATAAGCTATATTTGTTCAGTGTGAGCAGACTAGACAGTGACTTTTGGCATCTATGCTCACCAAATGAAGTATGTGCACACACTGTCAGGAGGCCACTTGGCTTTAGAATGTGGATGAGGGAGTACCCTGCTATCTGGGAATCTGTGTGCTCCACTAGAAAGAAAGGAAGAAAGGGCATAAGGTGAAAGTTTAGGCGAAAGACTGCATCATTATTTTAGGAGTATATTAATTACTTGTGAGAAACCTGCCCACCTCTTTTCAATTACAATAGTATTGAGACCAATGATAGCAGATTAGATGCAGAAAGCCTTAGGCTGCTCTTTAGTATTTGCTTTCCCTGACTACCATCAGAACAGAGTCCTCAGTGGCCTTGGGTATTTGTGCAACCTGCAAATAGTGGAACTGTCCCCTGCTCCAATTAGTCAGAATCCCATGTAATCTGCAGGTGGCCATCCTGAGCCTCTATCAATCCCTTCATTTACACATTGTTCTCACTCAGCTTCTCACAGGAAGGCAGCTTTCTAAAAGTGCTGCAAACACTAGGTGTGAAAAATAAGGATGGTATAAATAGCTTTTCACTTCTAATTGCAAGTTGCCACTCACATTTTGTTCTCTGCCAGCTCTGAAAAGGGACAGACCAAAACCACAGATAACACAGGAACCCTAGGAGGGTGAATCAATGTCGGCTGCAGAGGGAGATCAAATATCCATAAGGCACGGCAGGGGTCCTAGAAGGCTGAAAGAGCACATCTATGCAGGGTAAAGTGCAGCCACATGCAGGGAACGGTTCCTTGGGATACCTGACAGGTCAGCTCTTTGATGCCCCTTTCTAGTATGTGAGCTTCCCTCCAGTCCTCTGCATCCAGCTCAGACTTCCAGCTCAGGAGCCTGCAACCAAACCGTGACATCAGACCACACACTGGCAGCAAGGCTGGCACTGGATCTGCCAAATGAGAGGGTCATGTGAAATGGGGTGAAGGGAAGATACCTCCTCTCTCTTTCCAGTAGAGACTAAACAGGGCCCCTTCTTTGGGAAAACTTTCTCCAGAAGTGAGCTGGTTGAACTATATGAACTCACAAAAGGACTGTTAAGACTCTATAAAGGAAGTGAAAGGCCAACATAGGCAGAGGGGGACAGACTTTCCTTCTTCAATTACAAAACCATACCCACACTCACACATATGCACATGCAGGAACATCTGAAAGGTAGAGACCAATGTACACGTGGCAGGCTTTGCACATTCAGCCAATGCACTCGCTCATTTAAGCTTCTCCATGTTCTTCTCAGTCTAAGGAAATCAGACCCCGAGTCTCTCCCACAAGTTACAGCCCTATAGCCCTGCTTCCTGGGAGAGTTATAGTAGGAACTGCCTGTGGCCTTATAGTCATACAAATAAGATTAACTACTGAACACCATACTGGAGTGTAAGGGATAGAGCAGGAGACAAAACAGACATGAATCTCTTCCCTGTGTGAGCCTACATTCTCATAAGGGAAGCAGGCAAACTAGATTTCAAGGTGTCAAGGGCTAAGGAGATTAACAAGCAGGAAAGGGGCAGGAAGTTGGTGGGGAAAGGGTGTGAGCTACCCCTCCTGCTGAGGGATCCTAGATACCAGGCCTCCACCTCTGCCTTCTGCTCCACTCAAAACCACCTTCTGCAGGAGGCCTCCCTGGTTATCATGTTAAACTGTGCTGCTGAGTGCTCTGAGGCATAGCTGTGTATACCACTGACCCTACCACTCACTCTCCTCACCTCTTTCTTTCCAGGGACAGTGGGGAAGGGATGATCAGCAGCTGTACAGGAATCCTGTGGATGAGACCCAGTAACTTGGCTCTTCTGGACCCCTGGCCAATAGGAGCTTAACTTATAGTTGTGTTTGTCAGGATATGAGCTAACAGACCCTCCTCCTTTACTTTTTAAAAGACTTAAGGAATTTTTTATTTTGAAAAGTGTTTATGACACGTCAAGGTGAAAAACAGGTTTAGTAAAGAAAATACTACACATCATATAATTTCAGCTGTAAATTTTATGTAATTCTATCAGTTAATAATGGTTGCTATGTGTTTCCTAATGTTCACATGTTGCAAACTTATTCCCCAAATTCTTATAGTGACAGTTTTTAGATGTGAAGCGTTAGAGAGGGAGGTAATTAGGATTAGATGAGATGAGGGCATGAGGGCGAGACCTGAATGATGGTATCAGTGGCTTTGTAAGAGGAGGAAGAGAGATCTGAGCTAGCATGTTTGCTCTGTATTGCTGGGTGACACTGTCTGCCAGGTTGTGATGTAGCTAGAGGATCAATGCCAGACACCAAGCTAAGGCCAACACCATGTTCTTAGACTTCTTAACTTCCAGAATAATAAGCCAGATAAACTTCTATTCTTTATAAATTACCCATGCTCAGATTTTTATCTGTGGAAAATTGACTAAGACAATGGTAATTTGATTATATTTTAAAGAAAATTAACTAAGTCCATAGTATCATCTGATCATTTAAGATATCATGCTACTGAGGTATCTCATTAGTTCTAGGACTTATTGGTGGACAAAAAGCAATTAGAAACAAAAGTTAAATCCTGTAATCTTAAATCAGAATTGGAAATATCAATATCATTCATGTATTTTTAAAGAAAAACATATGTCATAGTTCTTTGATTTTATACCTATTAGCTTTTTCTCCTTTACTAAAAATCTCAGTTCTAATATATGTTGTTGGATAATTATATTAGTTCTATTACTGATAGCAAAAAGATAGTGTTTTGAAAAATATATGGAGTTTGATTTCTTTTCCTGTCTTTCTGATATATGAGAGATATGTAGTACAGACAAAATACCATGGTTAAAAGTCACTAGGACTGGGCCAGAGATTTAGCTCAGTGGTTCTGTTGCCTGCCTTGCAAGTGCAAGGACCTGAGTTCGATTCCCGGTACCAAAAAAAAGAAGTCACTAGGACTAATTCTTTTTTGTGTATGTTTTATGCTGTCATTATGCCCTCATAAAGTTAGCTTCATTTGCTTTCATTGATATTAAAATTGTTGTGATTTCTTGTTTTCTTTGATTTAAAATTTAAAATTATGAAATGTAATTATATTATGCAATAAAACCAACTAAATAAGTTATATTAACAAGGTTCTCATTTTCATCACTGAATTTGATTCCTATAGGTAGCCATTCTTGTTATCATTTCTTCTTGAAAGTATAAGTAAATGTGTACATATCTTCATGCCACCCCCTTTTCTTATATAAAAGGGTGTTAACTTGTCATCCCTGGGTACAAAATATCTGAGAAAAGAAACTTAAACAAGGAAAGGTATTTGGACTCATGGTTTCAGAGGTTTCAGTCCATGGTCAACTGGCTCCATTACATTTAGGCCTGTGGTGAGGAAGAGATACCATGGCAGAAGGTTGTGGTAGAACAAAACTGCTCACCTCAAGGCAACCAGAAAGCAGAGAGAGAGAGAGAGAGAGAGAGAGAGAGAGAGAGAGCCTATGCTGGTGGGCATCCTCCTCCTGCTTTTCCATTTGAGCCCCCAACCTATTGGGTGGTGCTGCCCACATTCAGGGCTGGTCTCACACCTTAACTTGCTGTCTTATCTGCCAACCATCTCTGAAAACACTCTCATAGACATACCCAAAAGTGTAATTTACTAATTTCCTAGTTTCTCACTCCAATAAAGTTGAAAAAGGAGATTAATCATCATTGATATACACACTCCACATGTTGTCTTGATCATTCACTATCATCATTCTTCTAGGGGTAATCTGTTCTTTTTTTTTTTTTTTTGGTACCAGGGATCAAACTTGAGACCTTGCGCCTGCAAGGCAGGCTGTCGAACCACTGAGCTAAATCCCTGGTCTGGCTAGGGGTAATTTGTAAAACATATTCTATAGCTATTTTTCATTCTTTTTTGATCAGCTTGTGTATGAATGTACCGTGAAAAAGCACTAGTATTCCACTGTATGGATGAACAATCAATGTATAATGATGATACTTCTTGTTTTGTAGTACTGGGGATTGAACCCAGGGCCTTGGGCATGCTATGTAAGTGCACTACCAGTGAGCAGCATCCTCAGTCCTGATATGTTTTTTCATAGGCTTTTTTGAACCATTAAATCCCAGTTGAATATTTTTTCAAAAAAATAGTCTTTCCATCTTTGTAGCATTTATCATATGCCTTATATATATTAACTGAAATCAGTTCAAAAACTTTAAAAATTCTGTTACATTTTGTTTTATGATACTGAGGATTGAACCCAGGGTCTTCACACTGAGCTACATCCCTACCCCCCACTTTTAAATTTTAAAATGAAATCTTGCTAAGTCACTAAGTTGCCCAGGATGGGTTCAACTTTACAATCCTCCCACCTCAGCCTCCTAGGAAGGATTAGAGGCATGTACTACCATGCCTGGATAAAGAAAAATCCTAATTTTGAGAAGTCTTCCTATATGTTTTTAAGTTCCCTAGAGGCAGATACTACATCATTTCTCTCAACACTTGCTATATCTGTTCTGAGTTCTTCTTCATTATAAATTTGTTTTTCTCCTCCTTTCTCTGGATGTTAGGAAATGGGTGTTTTCGGGGTGGGGGGATAAAGGAAGCAAAGACACAAAAACAAGATAGCAAGGGCGTGTTTGGATACAGTGTACAAGCCCCCTGTAAAGTCCAGAGCTGGTGTAGTGACTGGGAGCAAATGATTCTCAGCTGTAAGAGAGAAAGAACATGATCAAGTCCAAGAAAAGTCCTATTTGCCAGCCCAGTAATGAATGCAAATATTGATATCAGGTAACCTTCAAAGATCAGAAAATGCTAAAACCAAAAGTGATGATGGCGGTAAGGAATATCTGGTGTGAAATCCTCAGAAAATGTGGCCATGAATCAAACATTGTAAAGCCTCCATGATTACCCAAACTCTTACCTCAGATTCTGGTTTCTGAGCTTGCTTTCTACATCCACAAGGGCAGTCTGTTCAGCTTGATTCAGCCATTTTTCTTTCAAATCTTTACTTATCTGCTCCATTTTCTTTCCCATCCTTTCTGAGTAAGGATTGGTGACTTATTCCTTCAATTCTGACATGTTTGCTGCTTAGAAAAGAAAGAATGGACTGAACTAGCCCAGTGTCCAACTGATCTTCACATTTTTACAAACAATCTTCCATGCCTGGTCTGACTGGATGCCACGCCTTACCTCTTATACTAAATCTATTCCCATCTTGCTCTCCCTAGTCTCTGCTGCCCTTGAGGTTTTGAATGATGAGGCAATAGAGATAGAAGCAACTGAAAGAGAGAATGGGGTGAGCAATGGTAGAAAGAGACCAAAGATGAAGTATCATATAAACACTATGACACATGTAAACATTATGACACAGTGACTGTGTTAAAAGAAAGATGACCAACTGTAGCAATGGAATTTAATTGATTAAAGGACTAGGGCATCATTTTCATTGAATAGAGTAACCACTGTCACATGATACATCAGAAACAATGGGGAAGAATGCCTACAGGTATTATTTTTACATTTCACTTCTAGAATTCTGTGATTCATTACTGGAAACAAATGTAGGCTCCAGGAATTTGCAGTAGCAGATGCTCTCAGTGCCAATACTCTGGCATAAGGAAGGTTAATTGTGAAGGCTGCTCTTGGCTTCGGCTATCTGTACAAGGACTTTGTGTCTCAGTGGAATTAATTATTAAGAACTGTATCATGAATCTCTTAGTGCATTTAATGTATGAACACAGCCCTCTGAGCTAAAGTTTCTCAGTCTAGCAGGTTACCAGGTTACCATCTGTAGAATTTAAGTATGAGATTTCTTTGCAGAGGGTGAGGGCAAAATAGAATTACAGAGGCAATTCTGGGCTTTTTTATGTGGGTTTGAGACTACAAGCTCCAGTGTTCAAGAATTAGAGGGTAGAGGGAAGAAGTAGTGGGTTCACTTTCAAAGTCATTAAGGTTAATTAGGTGGCATCTTCACAATGTATGACTGCAGAAAATTGCTAAACAGGACTAAAAGCTCTTTTCATTCTTCTCTACCAATGTATGTTTTTATAAATGTTATGGATATTATTTTTACTTTGGTAATTAATCATTTCAAGCTTTCACACACCTCATTACCATCAGAGAGCAGAAGGATCTGCCTCAATGAAAAATGGTTGAGTGACTGGCATTCTTCTCCATTCTAGAAGACTGGATTCTACAGTGACCTGGTGGCTGAGATTTGGTACAAAGGGTTTTGATGTTTTTATTCCTCAAGTGCTAAATAACTTGAGCAAAAACAGACACAAACTCTTCACCTCTTTAAAATGTTAAAATGACTACTGTAAAATCTAATCGACAGTTCCATCTCTGCAGCTTTCACAGGGGTCAGGGCTTCTACATCAGGGTCAGGGCTACTACAGATGGCTGTGTACTTCATAGGCTACGTGAAAGCCCTTGGTGGGAAGAGACTGAAAGCAAGGTTCAGCCCCAGTCAGAAAGCTCTGAGACCTGCAATCCTGGCTCCTACACACACACACACACACATACACACACACACACACACACTTCCTCTACTAATATTTTTGCTCAGTGGTACTTTCTGCTTATGATACAGTTTGAGAGAAATGCTGCATCAGCCCACAAGGAGTGCCCAGAGGGTGGCTTTTTTCTTGTTCCCACAGAGATGCATCAAGGCTGACATCCAGTCCTGAGCTTAGCTTAGTCATGGGAAAAGCATCACCACAACAACTTTAAATTTGCAAATATAAAAAGGTCAATTACTCCTGAAATTCTTCTTTACCAATCTGATTTTGCTACTTGAGGATTAGTAAAGGGTGTAAAACATAAGTGACAATAAGCACTTTTTCTAGATCACTGTCACAAAACTATTATAGACCCTACAAATATAGATCTTTTATAGCCCAAGACAGAAAAAAATTATTTCTAGATACTAGATATATTGATTCATGAGTAAAAAATAGATAAATGTCAGAAAAGACTCTTCCTTTCATAAGATTTTGCTTATAGCAATTTAACTGCTCCTTTTCATTTCCAGGGTAGTTTGGAAGGGGGGAGCTAATTAGCCCAATTGTTCAAGCTGAGAACAGGGAGGCAGGATCAGCTAACTTCTGTCTGACTGAATGGAGAATCAATGGAAGCCTTTGGGGCTGTATATTGGCCCCTGCCTCTCACCTCCTGCTCCAGTGAACTCTGGAAGACTGAGCAGTCTATTGACCCACCTCAGTGGCTGCCTTCTTGGCCTTCTCTTCTGCATTTGACATACTTGCATCATCGCATCTGTCTTCATCTGCGCAATATCAGCTTTCAGTTTCTTCTTCTGGCTGACATTTATATTCTAAGGAAAAGCAGCACATCTGTTGAAACCAGCAATCCAAATGCAAGTTGGTCTGTTCAGGACTTGATAAAGGAGGCAGCTCTGGCCAGGAGCAAGTTTTACCAGACTTAGTCATATTCAATTAAGCAAGACCTCTAAGCCCAGGAAGCACATTTGAATGGAAGGGATTTCATTCATTTAGAGGTTCAGGACTGAAGAAAATGCATCCTAGATAACCTACAAGCCCAACATAGATGTAGTTTTCAACAGGCTATGGAATGTTTTTTGGCCATGCGCTCTTTAATATAGAAACAAGTGTTACCAGAGAGGAAGTCAGAGTTACCTGCAGACATCTGAAGAGAACGTTGGGGGATAAAAATCACAATTATGCTGCTCCCCTGAAGAAAAAGAATTCCTCCTCTTTATCCATCTGCTGCCTTCCTGTCTTAGGCTGCAGTGGAGGGGGAAAAAAGTTCACAAGAATCTCCATCCCTACCCCTTAGAAACTCCCATTAAAGAGAGGATGTTCTGTGTTCTGCAGCTGGTGCTGCCCCAATTCTTTCCTTTCTGAGTTGTGATTCTGGGGCCAAAGTCTCTTTGTTGCACTTAGTCTGTGTTTGAAGTTCAGCTTTTCTGAGGGTATGAAACCTCAGCACAGAGCACATGTATAAAAGGCACAAGCTATTTTTTATTTCTCTTTTCATTACATCTTTCACATTATCCTTTCCCTTTCTTACTAGACCCTTAACCGGGGTTGGGGGAATGACAGAATTAAACCTTGAAAATAGAAGAGACTATCCAGCCTCAGGTCCTGTGCTTCTGCACAGAATGAAGCGGCACCAGAACTGCCCCCTTGGTCCTTGCAGAGCCAGGCCCTGAGCACCCAGAATGTCTACTTCCATGGCCATGGCCCATGGTGGGTAGTGGTTTTTCCCCTTAAGTATTCTCTGGGTGCTCATTGCAAGTAACTTTCTTTGCAAACAAAGGCATGAGCACAAGTGCTGGTTTATTTCCCTAAAGAATTATTTAAAATCTGGCAGGGACATAATGATTAAAACATCTGTAAGCTGAATGGTTCTCTGATTGGTTCTTTTTTTGGAGGAAGGGTGGTAAGGAGCACTGTGCCTGTGCAGGAGGGTTATCTGTATTGTCACAGATAAGCTTGGCTTCTTGTGTTTGTCTGAAGTGAGGGGTCCTTGAGAGAAGTATGTTACCAGGATGAGTGCTGGCCAGAGTGTCTTGGGATCAGAGCGGTAGCTGAGAATTTGATTCCTGGGCCCCACTGCAGAGCTTCCAATTCAGTAAGTCTGCAGTGATGTCTGAGAATTGGGACTTTTGTGTTAATGACTCTTGAACACCTAAAGTTTAAGAGAAATCACTCTGTAGAGTAGGTCTCAAAAGTCTGGTTTTATTTATTTTTTTCCAAGTCCTCTCCTCCTCTATGCTTGTTTTCTGTGATTGATGTCCTCATCTATCGCTCTCTAGGCCAGTAGTTTTTGCATTATCGGTTATGATATGCATAGCAAATGATTTGTCACAAATAAGTTATTAAGTACTACATACAATGGGTGATTTTGAGAAGATTCAGTACTACACTTTATAAGAATACAGCTCATTGTATTTAGATAAGCTTTCATGAGGGAGAAAGAAAATGTTCGAGTTAGCCTACTGGGAATTATGAATAGCATTCAGACTATTTGTTCTATACCCCCTAGTACCGCAAATAAATTGTATCATACAAATGGACACAAAAATCGAACCACAGGCCAAAACTAACAGCAACATTTTTCTGCAGGTATATTTCTGGTTTACACATTATTTAAATGAGGATTTTTCACTGGAAACACAATGAAGGACAATTGTTTATGATGTAGTATTATCCAGCACCTCAAAGGAGTTTTAGTATCTCTGGATCCTTCCCACTAAATGCTGGTAGCAATATCTAGTCATTGTGGAAGGTAATATAAAACTAAGTATTTATAAACACCCAAGAGCATGGTAGCCTGTGCCTAGTTGCTTTACTCTATCCTTCATGACAATCACCAGAGTAAACTTTCTAAAATGTTAATCTGATAACTTCACTCTCTGCTGTTTAAAATTATTTACCGAGTTCTCATTATGTGTAGAGAAAATTCAAACTCCATTTCAAATTCAAGATCTCTAGTGTCCTGGACCTACCCAGCTGTTAGTATCATTTCTGTACGTCTCATCTACCCAATCTTACTCCATTATGTGCCATTTCCTTAAAAAATCCCCAATTCCCTCGGCTGCATTGTTCCTTCCCTGACTTTCAACCTGCCTAGCTGACTTCTTCCACATCTTTCATGATGATGAAGAATGTTGTGTGCCTGTCTAGGATTGACAGGGAAGGCTAGCCAGCCTAAGGATGGGCTTCTTCTGTCACTATACTCACAGCAATGCACTAGAATTAATGTTTCTCTTTTTAGGACAATGAAGATATTTTGTATCAAACCAGGCATAAAAATGTAGCTGATAGTGGGTTCCCTAAAAATACTTATTGCATGACCCATTTATTACAGACATTTTTCCTAGCCATCGTAGCTTCAGCTGATTCCACAGTGCTGAAGGTTATAAGAATTTTGTTTCATGTCACTTACATAATCTTACATGAGTATTGACAGCTCATCATATCTGCAAGCAGCCATTCAGAATTGCCAGATATCTCCTGCCCCTGAGAGAGAAAAACTTTTTAAAATGCTGGTCTGCTGGAGGAACAAGTGGCTTAGAGAAGAGAAAAATTAGGCATGTGGTTCTGGAACTCCAGGAAATGTTGATCCCTCTCCCTTAAGCATCCAGGCTACAGATGCAGTGACAGTCCATTTTTTTTTTTCTGAGAACAGCTAATTTTTTTGTTTGTTTGTTTGTTTTTCAATCCTGTGTGTGGATTTTTACAAATTTATTTTCTTTTTTTTTAATTAAATTATTTTATTGGTACATTGTAGGTATACAACACAATTACATTTCTCATTGGGAATTGTACCTTTACATAATGCATCTTGGTTCTTATTCTTTCCCCATTCCTAGCCCTCCCTTCACGCCCTCCACCCTTCCCTATTTACAAAGACTTTATTTTCATTTTTTCCATGAGAACAGTTAATGTTATGGGTCAAATTTCTCACTCCCAAAATATATGTTGAGGTCCTAACTTTCAGTTTGTCAGAATGTGACCTTATTTGGAAATAGGGCCTTGAAAGAGGTAACCAAGTTAAAATGAATTAGGAAGGGCCCTAACCCAACATGATGGGCCTTATTGAATGTGGTGTGCCTATAAAAAGGAGAAATTTGCACAGAGACAGACACAGAGGGAAGATGATTTGAACAGCCATGGGGAAAAACGCTGTGAAAGTGAGTGATAACATCAACAAAACAAGGAATGGCAAAGATAGCCAGAAAACCACTGAAAGCTACAAAGAGACAAAGGAATATCCTATGGGGTTCTCAAGGATGGCCCTGCCGACACCTTGATTTTGCATGTCCAGCATCAGGACAGTTAGAGAATAAACTTCTGTAATTTAAATCTACCCAACTTGCATTGGTTTGCTACAGAGAACCTGGGAACTTAATATACATGGAAACAAAAAGTGTGACTCTGCTCTGCTGCACAGGCTTTCCCTGTGCTTCTTGTGCCACACCCCAGCCTTGGCCTGGCAACTTGGCCTGGCTTAAGGTTGACCTGAGGTGGGAGCAACTGCCTTCAACCACTTGACCCTGCTAATGGGACAGTTTATGAGCCCCACTTGCATATGAAAAAGATAATTTCTTTCTATGGATTCCAGGAGCTCTTTTTCTGCCAGCTCATATCCACACTCAGTCTGCTCTTGCAAGGATCTCAGATCCCCTAGTTTGGACTGAAGAAGAGAGTTGCACCACTCATCCACAGCCAGCTGTTCCTTCAGATCACTTTTCAGGTGTGTTCTGTCACTCAGTTGCACTTGAAGGTCCTTCAAGGGAAAACATGGACCTCTGTGTTCAACATGGGATGGAGACTGTATGTCCAATGAGCAGTTCAGCTACTGAATGTAAACATGTACCCACTTTCTTGAAGGATGAGATCATTTGTAAGCAGAAGCATTTTGCTTGTAAGCGCAAGTATTTTGATCCTAATCCCATGTGACAGTTTGAAAATTCCTCCATCAACTCTAAAGATGGCCCAGGGATTTGGTTCCCTCAGACACCTTGTGGTTAGCACAGCAAAGAAGGAGTTTCATGTCCTTGAGGTCCCCTTCTATCTTCTTCAGCTGGTAGCCTCAATTCTGCTCCTAGCTTCAGAATTCAGACTAGACTTCAGGGAGTCAACAGCACACTGCTGCTATCTCCTAATTTTAGAACAACGTTCAGGGGGGAAATATCGCATACCCAAATTAAGAAGAGTTGCCTGCTGAGTTCACAACAATTTAAAAAATGGAGAAAAATTAAAATTCAAGAAAACGTCTAGGTAATTAACAAAATCAGCTCTGTTAGTCAGCTTTCTGTTACTATAACAAACACCCAAGATAAACCACCTTTACAAGGAGGAAATGTTTGACTGTTGGTTTCATTCTATAGCTTTTGATCCTGTTGCTTTGGACATGTGGAGGCACAGTCCTTATTGTAGAAGCCTGTGGTAGAGGAGCTGCTTAATTCATGGAACCAAAGCAGCTGAGGGTGGGGGGTAGCAAGAGCAAGAGCTAGGGTCCCAATATTCCCTTCAAAGGCATGCGCGTGTGCACACACACACACAATGACCTAACTTTCTTCTACTAGCCCTTACATCCTAAAGGTTCCACCCACCTCCTAATAGTGTCACAGGCTGGTGACCAAGCCTTGAACATATAGGATCTTTGCGAGACATTTTCCAACTATAACATTCTATTCCCTTGCAAAATGCAAGTCCATCTTCAAGAGTTCCCATAGTCTTAACAGTTCCAGCATTGCTCAAAAGTCCAAGTCTAAAGTCTCCTCTGAGACTCAAGGCAAACTCTTAGCTGTGAACCCCTATAAAAACCAAGATGTTACATATTTTCAAGATAAGATGACATAGAGTAAACATTCCTATTTAAAAAGGGAGGAATGGGAAAATAGGAGGAATCTGACCAAAGCAAGACAGAAAATGGTAGGGTAAACATTAAATACTGTAGCTCTCTGTCTGGCATCTAGGTTACAAAGTGGCAGGATGTGAGCTCTAAAGAGCTTGGACAGCCCCACTTTTATGACCTTATGGCTGCAGCTCACAAGGCCAATCTTTTGGGCTGCCTCTGCTTGCTATCTATAGTTCAGCAGGCATTCCACATTCTTGGTAATTCTAACTTCCTGAGGTCTCCATTGGAGCTTCAGCTCACAAATTCATGCATGGCCAAAGCTACTCAAGGGAACTCTGACCCTGCCACATACTGCTTGCCCTCTCAGCCTTTACTCTAAAATCTCAGTGGAAGCCTCCATGACTCCCTCAGTCTTATTATATTCTGTGTGCCTGCAAACCCAGCATTATAAGACAACATTAAGGTATGATACCAATGTGAGTCATACCCAGTCACTTCAACCATTGGCTGTAGTAGTTTCTGAGTGCCTGGGAAGCTGAGTATGGGGAAAGCAATCCTGGAGAAATAATTTTCTAGGTGGCCGTATGTGAACAAGGTCCCCAAGGAATGACTTTGAAATGCACTAACACTTTTATACTTTTGAGCTTGCAAAGCATAGAGTCTCAGTGATTCCAGACAGAGCCCTCAAAGTATATTTCCTTTTGTTCTGGTGCAAAGTAGTTGGGTTATTTTTAATAGAATGCATTTCTTTAGCAAACATCCCCTGTTTGGCTGGAACTTTATACATGCTTCTTTCTTGTCAAACTGCAAGTGTGTCAAATATTTCCAGTCTGCTTTTTGCTGTTGTTTCTCACTGTAAATCTGGCAAAAAGAAGCTAATGATGCTCATTCCACAGCCTGAATAATGTGCTACCTTAATATTTCCTTCAACACAAGTTAGTTAGTCCATCACCTTTAAACTTTGCTTCCCACAAAAAGTACAGCATTCAATTTCTTTACCACAGTGTAAAGAGGGTGGTCTTTAATTCATTTCCCAACAGAGTCCTTATTTCCATCTGAATCCTCATCAGCATAGTCTTTACTGTCCACATTCCTATCAGTATTTTGTTTTTCCAAACCCTCACCAGAATCACCTGTTAAGCTCCATTTGCAGAATTCAGTATTTTCTCTGAGATTTTCTCCAAAAATTTCCAAACTTCTCCGGCAAAAAAGAATCCCAAAGGCTCCTGAATGACATCATCTGGTGTAATTAGAGCAATAGCCCCATTCCTGATACCAATTTTATGTGTTGGTCAGTTTTTCATTGCTGTAACAAATACCTGAGATAAATCAACTTATAAGAAAGAAAGGTTTAGTTTGGCTCACAGTTTCAAAGGTTTCAGTCCATAGTTGCTTGGCTCTGGTGCTTTGGACCTATGGCAGCATAGTAAATCATGGCAGGAACATATTGCAGAGAAAGTGCTCATGACATGCCATTTAGGAAGCAGAGAGAGAGAGAGAGACAGAGGGAGAC